TTTTTTTTTTTGATATTTTTTTAAAACTATTACTGCACAGTAAGAATAGAAAATGCTATTATTAGTTAGATAGTGATCATTTAATAAACTATCAGGTACAGTTTTTAATAGAGGAACGGTGAAAAAAGTAGAGGGGATACAGAGGAGGTGAAGGGCAATTGGAAGGGGGAGGGGAAGGGGAAGGGTAAGGGGAAGGGTAAGGGGATAAGGTAATAAAGGGGATTTCATTAGATCAATGCAAATAATGTTGCAACAAAAATAAGAATGGACAGTTGAGAACAAGTTTTTTGCTTTTTTTCCTCCTTACAATTTAATTGTATTTTATATAAATAAACGTCTGACACATCACAAATCTTATTACTAAAAAAAATTTAAATAAAATTCACCTCTTCAAACAAATCCTATGCATTTGTGATGTATTTATTTAGTTTTGTTTTGTATCTTTCCTCTTTTCTTTTTGTTTTCCCATGTAAATATTTAAATTCCATCTTCTACTTCTTCTATATCATCTTTTTTTTTTTTAATTTGCAAATATTATACAAAAAAAAAACTAAACACAATTATTCAGAATCATCTTCATAGCTGTCAATTGTTTTCTTCTTCTTTTCAACCTCTGCCCGGATGTATGCACGAAATTTGCGAACAAATCGAGGCAAATCATATCTGAAACAGTAAAGACTATTTTTTTTTTTTTATAACACAAACTTTTTAGAACATTCAACTTTTAATTTACAAACATTTTACCAATTATTTATGGTGTTATTGTGCATTTCTTTTTTTTTTTGTATTTTACTTAAATCATTTATGATTGTTTTGTAAACATTGATGAATGTTTGTAATAACAACAGTTAATCATTCAGATGGCATTAACTTTATGTGTATATTGATGTATATTTGTTTGCTTTTTTTTGTCTTTTTTGTCATTTCCAAATAAATACTTAGTAAAAAAAGAGAGAAAACAAAAAGTTAACGAAGAAAAAAAAACTCAGAGACAATAATCTACCTGAAATCTGTATTGATAACTATTGCATGATCAGCACACTGTAACGATGGTCTTTCCAGTTCTACACCGCACATTATCGGTAAACGAATACCTTAAAGTAATATTTCAAATAAGTTATCAAAAAAAAACGAAAAAAAGAAACTAATTTTTTGACGAACAATTAGCATTATCAATAATTCAGAATTGTTAATTAGATAGCCAGTATTCTAACATTCGACAAGTACAGAATTACTGCTCTTACAGTAATTAATAAAAAGCAAAAATTTTAGCTGTTAAACTATTGCTAAGAGTGATTTAACAGTTACTAAAAAATGTAAAAAAAAAAGTCTACCTCGTTGACTTAAAGCAAACCGAAGACGTTTTTTAATCTTTGGCCAAAGTTTATTTGGTATGACAGCATTTAGAGCTTTTTTTAGTGAATTTGCAAACACACCCCGAATTCCCATCTGTAAAATATGAGATAAGTTAGTCGTTGATATATTATATTAACTAAAATACACCTATTAAGTAGGAAACTTGCAAAACCTCGTATATTCTTAATCAATAAAAGAAAAACAAAAACAGAAAGAACTGACGTTTTTCATATGTATATCAAGTTTTCCAAGTCCAACATCGCCATACACTCTGCTGTATCGAACGTATGGCCTCACCTTAAAAGTTTCTACGCATTTCGTTCACCAATTAATACTCGTGAAGAATTATCAACAACAGTTAAAAAAACGTTTAAATTTTGCCAAAATAAATAATCTAAATGATGATGATGACAAATGCACTTACCACAACGCTCAATTGAGTGTCGGCGGAAATCAGGTTGTAGCTTTTCCAACGACCAATAAACTTGATCGTAACATCACCATCAATTGTCATCTTGACGCCAGACGGTTCAATCACCATATTCGGTCTACTGAAATTATCAAGCGGTTCTGTAATGCAGCAAAAAAAACGCTGAGTTATTCTACTCAAACATTTTACTGGTGACAGCACTCACCTTAAAGTTATTCATAGAACATGTTAATTTGCAAACAATTATAGCTTAGGATATATATCTTAAGGTTCAGTTTGACTTAGAAGCTACAAAAAGTTTGGTTCACTGTTTTCTTTTTCTTTTTTTGATGTAATAACAAGCAACTCCATCTAATTTTTATCCTTAATCAACAGGTACCAAAATGCGAAGAAATAAAAAAAAGGCTGCATCTTCTTTCTTAAGAGTAGTACTTTAGAAATGTTTTAGCACTTATCAGACAACACCTTTAACACCCAGAAAGCAGTTAGGTCATTGAATATTTTATTGAACCTTAAAGCTTAGATTATGCGCAAAAGCGTAAGTAGCTTAGAAAAAAACCCCATGCTGAATTTAACATATTTTTGAAAGTTGAATTTTGCATTTGATTTCTGGACTCATATCTAATTAATATACTGATATAGTTCATTTTCTAGTTTTTTTTGTAGCTTGTAGATTAGATAATTTTAGAATGAATAAAACTTAAATCAAAAATTTGATGTAGTCAAAAGATAACTTCCATATAAATGATAAAACACTAAACTAAAAAAAACTTTTACTAAAACCGCTGATGAGTATCTCATGTAGAAAAGGACTGTAAAAGCAAAGAAAGTTATTTGATCAATTTTTCGTAAACATTAAATTTACAGAGAAAAAATTGAATTTTAGACGCTTAAACAGGGGAATTTTCAGTCAAAAAACTGCAAAACTTAAGGATGTGGTTTTCAAATAAATGAGTATTGCTAAACAGTCAATTTCCAGTAGAAGAATAAGCTTTAACAAAGTTGACTTCTATTCTGCAGCATAATATCTGCTAGTCTTAATAACCGGTAAACTGCTTCTAGAGTTTTTATTACTGCTAAAAACAAGTTATTTATCAAAAAAAGAAAAAAAAGCAAACTACAGTTTAATTAGTGTATTTAAATTTGAAAACTGTTTCAAAAGCAAACTGATATGCAAAAATAACTGCTTCTTACACCAGAAGAAGAAAAAAACTCAGCACCTTGTCAAATTTGCAAACATATGAAGTTCACAGGTTCGGCACAGTACTTTAGCAATAGGCTTCACAAACTTTGGAAGGTTATGCGTTTTAAAAACTTCATGGAAATTTCCAAAATCGTTTTCGTATATGTGCGTCAAGAACGTATTTGGTACATATTCACTAATCATAAGACCAAACATCTGAAAAGACATTCATAAAATAAAAATTATGCATTGCTCAAAGTACAGAAGTAACAGATGCGTATATTTTATCATGCAAATATTCGATAACCTTGTCACCAAGACCAGAGACATCCAGATTCCTTGGTCGAGAAACATTTTTGGCTTTTTGACCGAAGAAAACAATGCCACCATCAAGTCCAAATATTACACTCTAAAAATTTAGTTATTTTGGTTTTTATAATCTTATTTTTTGTAATTAAAGTACTGTAGAACACAGCAGCTGTAAAAGTACCTTTTCCGTAAAGTTGGGAGAGTACATTAGAGTCAGATCAGGAGCCCATAAAGCTTCAGCCAATTTGGGATTGAATCTTGGCTGTTCATTCACAGATCTTTTGCTTACTGGTCGCAGGGTAGCCAGTTCTAATGTGGCACCATCATTTTCATCAATCCTATCAGCTGCGCATAAATCAGCAGCAAATTTAGCAGCCAAATCTTCATCTGGGACCTGAGTTTTAACCCGAATATTCAAATGCATCTATCGATATCAATGTAATCAGAAAACCTTCTTTTTTACCTCGTCAGAAGTTTCGTAAAATGCATTCTCATTTTCAACAGGTGCTTGGGTAGATGTTGTTGTCAACGACCCTAAACTCTCACCAAATTTGAGCACAAAAACTTTTGGTGTTGTTGGAGCCGTAGTTGGTGGTATCGGTGTAGTTGTAAGTATCTAAAATTAATCAAAAGACATTGTATTTCTCTGTTCAAAAGTAGATTTGTAAATAAAACATGAATAAATAAGTGTAATAGAAAAGACAACTTTAGAAACTGCCTTAGCAAATTTATTTTAGAAAAGTTTTATTCTGTATTAATTAGTCTGCAAAATCAATTTGATCAGCAGTGCAAAAATCAATAGAAGATTTAGCAGTTAAATCTTCAACTGGCTCCTGATTTTTGATTTGAACATAATTGTTTTTTACAAAAATAAATCTATTATTTCTGCGCCTACCGCCTTTTTTTGCTCCTCAAAAAAGTGTGCAACTGTTAGTGGAATCTCACATAAGGGATTGGCCAGTGCTGATACAATCATTTGGTTCAGCATAGAGCTGCAAGAAGATTTTTAATTCCTTCTTAAAGTTA